CTTTTAATATAGATGTGAATGAATGTGTTGAGATATCAGACATCTGTGGTCCAAACTCAATCTGCAACAACACTGTTGGGAGTCACAATTGTACATGCATGAGTGGATATAATTTAACAGACCCAAACCTCCCTATAAACAATAATAACCCATGCAAAGGTATGAAGCAAGGAACAGTTTGTTACTATTTTTTCTGCGTGAATCACCCTTCAACTGTAACCTTTCAATTTATTAAATACATTTTTATTTCAGATATTCATGAATGTCTTGACTCAGAATCAGTGTGTGGCCCTAACTCTCACTGTTACAATTACAATGGAAGCTTCTCATGCTTTTGTTGGGGTGGATATAATGTCTCAGATGGAAATAAAGCTATTAGTAAAGGCAACCCATGCACTGGTCAGTTTTTATTTATAAGATATTCTGCATTACAGTTTGCAAATCATTTTGAACTTTTGGTTATTACATCATTTCATCATTAATCATTACTCATTAATCTTTACTTTGGTGATTTTTAAAGATTCTCATTACAAATATAACATTTCAGGATCCAGATTATTATTAGTATTATTACTATTATTGTAAATGTTGACATTTCAACTTAATTTATATACTCCTTGTTTAGATGTATTTCATAACTTTAAGTAATTATTTTTTCAAATATTTTTTTTTCATAGATATTGATGAATGTTTGTTCAGTCAATCTGTATGTGGTCCAAATGCCATCTGCACAAATGAAATTGGAAGTTATAATTGCTCATGTCTGGATGGATTCACTGCAACAACCTCAAGTCTCCTCATCAGCATCAATAACACATGTAGAGGTACTGGTGCAGTTTCAACATGAAATTTAGGCCTTAAATACAGTTTTTATAGACACGTTTTTCTTTGTGCGAACAGTTTCAAAATAATGCTTTTTCTGTTGTTGTTGTTGTTGTTTTGTTGTGTGTGTGTGTGTTTGTGATTACATTATTTTATTTTGTTTTTTCTCAAACCTTATTCTCCTTGTATAGATGTAGATGAATGTTGTGAGATACCATTTCACTTTCATGTTTTAGGTGTTTATATTTGTGAATTTTTTCTCCCCCAGATTTAAATGAATGTCTGTTCAGTCCATCTGTATGTGGTCCAAATGCCAACTGCACAAATGAAATTGGAAGTTATAATTGCTCATGTCTGGATGGATTCACTGCAACTAACTCAAGTCTCTCCATCAGCATCAATAACACATGTAGAGGTACTGGTGCAGTTTGTACTTGTAAATTTAGGCCTAATATACGATTTTTTTATAGACCTGTTTTTCTTTGGGAAAACAGTTTCAAAATCTTAGATTTTCTTGTCTTTTGTGCTAAAAAATGTTGATATTGTACTTTGTATTCTCCTTGTATTGATGTAGATGAATTTTGTGAGATTTGTCTTTCATGTTATGTTTTTACATATTTATGTTTGAGTGCATTGAAAAATGAAAACTATTTTTCCCCTCTAGATATAAATGAATGTCTGTTCAGTCCATCTGCATGTGGTCCAGATTCCAACTGCACAAATGAAATGGGAAGTTACAATTGCTCATGTCTGGGTGGATTCACTGCAACAAACTCAAGTCTCCTCATCAGCATCAATAACACATGTAGAGGTACATTTTATATTTAGATTTGTGTTTACTCTAACTTTGAATAATTAGCTACAGTTTATTCAATTGATTTTTATTTCATTTTTGTAGCATTCTGTATAAAAGATTTCAAAGTATGAGTTGACCTTCACATATGAGTGATCCAAACTCTTCTTTTCCCCGTAACTTCCTTTTAATATAGATGTGAATGAATGTGTTGAGATATCAGACGTCTGTGGTCCAAACTCAATCTGCAACAACACTGTTGGGAGTCACAATTGCTTGTGCATGAGTGGATATAATGTAACAGACCCAAACCTCCCTATAAACAATAATAACCCATGCAAAGGTATGATTGACAGCTGAAGTTCTGAACAGTAACTTTTTATTCTGACTACATTTTTTGTCAACTGTAACCTGTCCCCTTATAATTGTTTTTTTATTTCAGATATTCATGAATGTCTTGACTCGGTATCAGTGTGTGGACTAAACTCTCACTGTTACAATTACAACGGAAGCTTCTCATGCTTTTGTTGGGAAGGATATTATGTCTCAGATGTAAATAAAGATATTTCCAAAAGTAATCCATGCATCGGTAAGTTTGCTATATGTTATATTTACTGTTATGATTTTCAGGCATTATTTATTGGGAACTGCTCAAAATGGTGTCATCTTTAGATTGTTGTGTAATTTTACATATGTCTTTATCAATGTTAATAATCGTTATATATATATATATATATATATATATATATATATATATAATCTTGCTTAATTATTTTTCATTCTTCTAAAATTATTTTGACATACATTATTTCATCCTTCATGATTTATATTCTCCTTTTTATAGACAGATGAAATAACAAATGTCTTTCATGTGTTTAGGTGATTGTGTTAATGAAAATTGTTTTTAAATGATCACTTTAATATATTTTATTTTTATAGATATAAATGAATGTCTGTTCAGTCCATCTGTATGTGGTCCAAATGCCAACTGCACAAATGAAATTGGAAGTTATAATTGCTCATGTCTGGATGGATTCACTGCAGCAAACTCAAGTCTCTCCATCAGCATCAATAACACATGCAAAGGTACTGTATGTGCAGATAGTCTCGGTTATGTATGATAACCCTCGATCCCTGAAGGAGGGATCGGAGACGTCACGTCGGATGACCGACGAATTGGGATCTCGCTTAGAGAGACCAATCTACTTCGTGTAAACTAAACGAGCCAATGCACATTTACATGCGATTATTGCATCCAGCTGCCGCTGATCACAGCGTGAGTATAAGTAGGCAGCAGATGCAGCGCATATTCAGCTTTTCGCTGAGGAACCGAGCCGGTGACCCGGCCACTCAGCGGGGGTACAGGAGCTGTAGCGACGGGACGTGATGTCTCCGTTCCCTCCTTCAGGGAACGAGGGTTACCATACGTAACCGAGACGTTCCCTTTCAGTCGGTCAATCTTGACGTCACGTCGGATGACCGACGAATTGGGATCCTCACAAAGGGCCACAGGTACTGCTCTTTCCAGTGTCCTGTGGAAGCCACCTGCGCCCCTACTTTTTGGCTTAGGCCAGGGCTTGCACAAGAGGACCAGCTACTGCTGCTATGGCACTACTCAGTGAGTAAGACTGGATAACACTGGGAAAACGTACCCGTTCTACTTGGAACAGGGACGTTAGGGAAGCTACAACCTTCCCGAAGGAGGTTTCGGAAGCAAATACACATATGAACATTCATTAGGTGCATATGGATGATTGGAGGTGATTGTAGCCCTCTTGGAATGGCAGAAGTCTGCCGGGGAAAGACGGGCTTGAGGCTATACCGTGGACTTTACACATATGGGATCCACTTAGGTCTTACATATGGAACCCAGCCTTCTACCGGTTCTCGAGGATTCAACGAGTGAAGGCCTGGTGCCGGATGCTCCACCACGTCTGGCTGCCAAGGGGACGGAGGAGCTCAACAGGGTCTACTATATGGACTCTCTGGAGTGGTTTTAGAAAGCCGACCCGAAGTCGGGGCCTCTCAGTGCTTCTACCCGTTTGAACATGCGATTATTGCATCCAGCTGCCGCTGATCACAGCGTGAGTATAAGTAGGCAGCAGATGCAGCGCATATTCAGCTTTTCGCTGAGGAACCGAGCCGGTGACCCGGCCACTCAGCGGGGGTACAGGAGCTGTAGCGACGGGACGTGATGTCTCCGTTCCCTCCTTCAGGGAACGAGGGTTACCATACGTAACCGAGACGTTCCCTTTCAGTCGGTCAATCTTGACGTCACGTCGGATGACCGACGAATTGGGATCCTCACAAAGGGCCACAGGTACTGCTCTGAGGGTTACCATACGTAACCGAGACGTTCCCTTTCAGTCGGTCAATCTTGACGTCACGTCGGATGACCGACGAATTGGGATCCTCACAAAGGGCCACAGGTACTGCTCTTTCCAGTGTCCTGTGGAAGCCACCTGCGCCCCTACTTTTTGGCTTAGGCCAGGGCTTGCACAAGAGGACCAGCTACTGCTGCTATGGCACTACTCAGTGAGTAAGACTGGATAACACTGGGAAAACGTACCCGTTCTACTTGGAACAGGGACGTTAGGGAAGCTACAACCTTCCCGAAGGAGGTTTCGGAAGCAAATACACATATGAACATTCATTAGGTGCATATGGATGATTGGAGGTGATTGTAGCCCTCTTGGAATGGCAGAAGTCTGCCGGGGAAAGACGGGCTTGAGGCTATACCGTGGACTTTACACATATGGGATCCACTTAGGTCTTACATATGGAACCCAGCCTTCTACCGGTTCTCGAGGATTCAACGAGTGAAGGCCTGGTGCCGGATGCTCCACCACGTCTGGCTGCCAAGGGGACGGAGGAGCTCAACAGGGTCTACTATATGGACTCTCTGGAGTGGTTTTAGAAAGCCGACCCGAAGTCGGGGCCTCTCAGTGCTTCTACCCGTTTGAGGTGAGAACACAGGAGGACACCGGCTCCACACAAAGGCTATAGAGTCTAGCGGACGTGTTAGGGGTCGCCCAGCCCGCAGCTCTACAGATATTTGCCACGAGCCAGCGCCCAGGAGGATGCCACACTCTAGTTGAATGAGCTCGCAACCTGAATGGGCAGGGCGCACACCCTGTGCCTGATAAGCCAGGGTGATGGCATCCACTATCCAGTGGGCCCATCCTCTGCTTAGAGACGGCATTCCCCTTCTGCCGGCCTCCGTGACAGACAAAGAGCTGGTCTGAGGTCCTGAAGCTTTGCGTCCAGTCTACATAGCACCTTAAGGCTCGGACGGGGCATAGCAAAGCTAGGGCTGGCTCTGCCTCCTCCGAAGGCAGCGCTTGGAGGTTCACCACCTGATGCCTGAAGGGAGTAGCGGGAACCTTGGGCACATAGCCGGGCCGGGGCCTCAACTGTCTGCAAAGGCTCAAATGGGCCCTGCTGTAGTGCTGTGAGCACTAGAGTCAGGTCCCAAGAGGGTATAGAGGGGGGCTGTGGAGGATTTAGCCTTCTCGCTCCCTTAAGGAACCTGATGACCAGGTCATGCTTCTCCAGCAACTTCCCTTCTACGGGGTCGTGGTTAGCAGCGATTGCAGCGACATAAACTTCGAGGATGGAGGGAGACAGCCTTCGGGGGTCTTCTCGGTGAGAAGAACACCACTCAACGAACAGGTTCCACTTTAAAGCGTAGGCGTGTCTTGTAGACGGTGCTCTCGCTGAAGTGATGGTGTCAACTACCTCTTGAGGTAGGTCACTTAGAACCGACCTCAAAGGGTGCCCCGTCTCTGAGTCAGTAGATCCTTCCTCAGAGGAATCGACCAAGGAGGGGCTGTCGCGAGGAGCATTAGTTCCGGGAACCAGGCCTGGGTAGGCCAATAGGGTGCCACCAACCGGACCTGCTTCTCGTCCTCCCTGACCTTGCACAGCATCTGTGCAAGAAGGCTCACTGGGGGAAACGCATATTTGCGAAGGCCCAGCGGCCAGCTGTGTGCCAGTGCGTCCATGCCGAGTGTTCCCTCGGCCAGGGAGAAGAACAACTGGCAGTGAGAGGTTTCTGGAATATCTGTCAGCGAGGCGCCACGAGCCAGCGCCCAGGAGGATGCAACACCTCTAGTTGAGTGAGCTCGCAACCTGAGCGGGCAGGGCACACCCTGTGCCTGATAAGCCAGGGTGATGGCGTCCACTATCCAGTGGGCCATCCTCTGCTTTGAGACGGCATTCCCCTTCTGCCGGCCTCCGTGACAGACAAAGAGCTGGTCTGAGGTCCTGAAGCTTTGCGTCCGGTCTACGTAGCACCTTGAGGCTCGGACGGGACAGCGCAAAGCTAGGGCTGGGTCTGCCTCCTCCGAGGGCAGCGCTTGGAGGTTCACCACCTGATCCCTGAAGGGAGTAGCGGGAACCTTGGGCACATAGCCGGGCCGGGGCCTCAGGGATACCTGGGAGTCAGCCGGCCCGAACTCTAGGCACGAATCGTTGACCGAAAATTAGTGCAGGTCTCTTGATGTCTTGATGGAGGTCAATGCCCGCAGGAGCAAAGTCTTCATCGAAAGAAATTTCAGCTTGACCGTCTGCAAATGGGCCCTG